ACATCAAACATCATCATCATACCGGAATGACTGAAGCAACACGCCAACGATGTGTGGAAGCTCTACAAAGAGCACACCGCTGTGGCCAAACATGCTGAGATGTTGGATCGCCGGATAAATTTCGAAGCAAAGGCCATCCTTGAAAGCGAGCCGAACTGGAGGAGAAGGTTACAACTTGAGTCGTGGCACATACAGAGGACAGCCAATATCATCAACCGCTCTCTCGGAGCTCTTCCCCCAGTGTGTACACATGAACTGCGCTCGACGGCAAAGCGAGAGAGGGGGGGTCATTATCTACCCTTCGAGTGCTTTGAAGACACTGCTGCTATGTAGTCCTGCAGTCACCCCTGAGGTAGGAACCAAGTCGGTTTTGAAACGTCGGGTTTCTTCAAAAATTTTGGTTGGAGTCTAAATCATCTCCCAGTAACGTATTTTCTTTCCCCATGCCGTCTTTCCCTGCTTAGCTTGCAGTGCTTTCGTCGGGACGAGAGAAGAGAGAACGCAATGGTATTGTGGGACAAATATTTTTAACTTCGTTCGTACTGCATGGATTCTAAAAATTTCTGCGGCGGTGAATTTTTGAAACAACAAGCTTCTTTAGTGCATCAATTCTTTGGCTACTTGAAAAAGTGTTGCAGCGCCCCTTTAAAGGGCTAGTAAACAAGCTCCAACATTTAACATGAAGATGTTTTATGCTAGGGTACCACGGCTCCGTTGATGTATTTCTGTCCCTGATATGACGTAAAATATACTAATAATTGCAAAGAAAGAAAAATGGGAAAAGCTTTCATATTGGGGCCAGACCCCAGAAACTTGGCGCTAGTTTCTGTTTCAAGGAACATGTGCGCTAGTAACCATCGCTGGGCATCCTAAGATCTTTTTAAATGAAGTGAGATTAACGTGGATGTTTGCATTTATTGTCTTTCACAAGTTTTCACAAATAACGAAATTCGATTGAACTGTAGAGAGCTGAATTTTCGGTTTATTTGGTGAAGCACAGGAAGAAATGTGCTTAACGCTTGCCGTCTCTCCCATTGCCTCTTGCTCATCAATATCACGAGTTGGATGAAAAACAAAGTGCCTAAAGGGGCCCTCTAACACTTTTCAACCCCTTATTTTTTACTCGTAGACTGCATAGACTGATACACGGACAAATTAGTGCAGCAAGAACGGCAGCGATAACGGCACGCAATACGAAGTTATACAATTTAAGAAATTCAAAATACAAGAAAAAAAAATGCCTACCCTCAACTCGAATTTCGCGGGGTGACATGACCATATTTCACTCTCTGCTGCGACGTTGCATACGGCCTCCAATGACATTGGCTGAAAGCTCTTGTGTAGAGGAAGCTCGTACACCATTGTTGCCTGTTCAGTCAAGTGTGTTTATGACGCTGTTGCTATAGCAACAGGCAATGTGGTGCCTGACCACGCCGTTTTGTTTACGTGGTCGAACAGCTGGGTGAGGCTGGTAGAAATGAGCCTTCCCGACTTGTCAGAACTCGAGCAGGTCCTTTTGCTTCGAAGCGAGGCTTTACGCGTCGTGTGATAGGCTGCGCTCATCGTCGTCATTTCCGCCCGCGTAGTTCTAGCGAGCGCCACTGTGCGCCGACGCGGTCGGCAGCAATGAAGTGGCTTTGTTGCACGACTAAAATACTAAATGATTTGATATCGGTGCTTGGACCTATGCTAAAATTATGCCCGGCCATCGGTCTACGCAAAACACATACAAAAAATAGGTGCTTCAAAAGTGTTGGAGGGCTCCTTTAACAGCGCAAACGATAGGAGATCAGTGTTCTGTTCTCATTTCTTCCATGCCCTCCTGTAGTTTGTGCTGTTAAGCCGTTTCTTCGCCTACCATGCAGCACCGACCAGCCAAATCAAGCACTTTGTTACGAGTTGGGTTGCGCTCAATTTGCGTGCCAAGTATGAATATGGAAAGATACACTTGATCTGGCGGGCAGTGAAGGTAAGCCGCAGTAGGGCTGGTCAATCATGTCAACGATGCATTAGATGAAGATGGCTAAATTGGCGCATCACAGGTTTAGTGCGGCTCTGTGGTGTGTTAAACCAGGAATTTCCAGGTTCCTGTAGATTTTCGAGGTTTCTTAGTGGCAACGGGTGAGCGCAAGTATTTTGGTTCGTAATTTGAGCTGGTATTCATTTCGCATGAGTGCGTAAGTAACTCGGTTCTCTGTGAGCCAGATTGAACTGACATACTCTCAAAGTCGCTAGAGTAATTTTGTGATGATGAGAGCCTACCTGCTGCTGACAAGATATATTTCATATAAGGCTTGACTGCATCTGCACAGTTTGTGCATCCTTTACTTTTGGCATGTAGTAGTTGAAATAATATAAGGAAGATATGGACGTTAGACTCTGTCCAGGGGGCGCTACAAAAAACACTGCCACCAGCAGCTCCATTGTTGCGCTGGCCATAAATGGGTAGTGCAAAGCAAGCCAGCTGTAAGCGAACGGGCATAGGTCCTCCTGATTCATCAATCTTGACGCGCGGTTTCTTAAAAATCGAGGACCTGGCAAGTTTCTTCCGTCAATCCGACCTCGCTTCAGAAAAGTGGGAAGCTTATCAAAGTGAACTGCGGGTACAACGCAGAAGATGTTTAAGTTATTTCAGTGTGCTGCGATTAAAGTAAAGCGAGCATCGCATGACATAAATTTCGAGGCAAGCACTCCGACGTGCGTTCTTCAACACCTAAATGCGTTAAACTTGGGCACACACATGATGTTAAAGTGATGAAGTACATAGACGAGCATTCGATCTTAGGATCAGTGGTACGAAGCTCGCTTTATCCGGCACGAATGGCCCCGATGATTTTCGTCTTTCCAGCTGCATCCTCTGTTGATCTCTCGCTTCCTGTGCATTGAACTGTTGGTAGAGTGTTAAGTTGACGGTGGTCTTCCATTTCTATATAATGCAAAGGGGGTACATGCGTGCCCACTTTCTAAGTGAATAACGAAAGGCGATGCCAAGGCCTCCGAGATAGATCAGGCAATCCTGGAGACAAACGACAAAAAAAAAAAAAAAAGAAGCCTGATTGTGGTCACGATCATTTTGCAATTTACCTGTGTGACCTACGTGTTCACATTTCCTAAGTTAAAGCAGGAAGTTAGAGCCTTCAAAGCCCTACATGCATAATGCTGCGTAGTGGTGACCACTTCAGATTATTGGTGGTCGCGACGTATGCGATGTTTATTGCATGCATCACTTGTTTACAATTGTTCAGCGCGCAGCACGATCAGAGGCTATGTTAAACTTCATAATCAAAGCTACCACGGTTCTCTGTGGTAACGATTGGGTGCATTATATCACTTTCATTATCACGTTTTTTGGTGTGGCCTGCTATAGAGAACGCGAATAATTTGTTTACACAACACGTTTACAACGGCCCGTATCCAGCGTTTACATCGTTCTGCTTCGTAAAAGCTGGAGAAATTAGCAAAACTGAAGTTTTTTTACATCAGTGGTGATTCGCAACGCAACATTACCGTCGACTGGGACAGGTTTTGTAAAGGGCAGAGCTGTTGCGTCTGCTCTTGTTCTCGCCGTCGTTCTGGCAAGTGAATCTGCAAGCAGGTTATGGTGTTTCAGTGATGCATCCAACTAGCTGAGAGAAATTTGTAGCTTTTTTTCAAAGTGTTCAATGCGCAAATACACCTAATATTTAGCTGAATCTTTGTTCTGTACGCTGTAGTTGCACCTGCTTGGGCAGCAAACTGTGCACGGGAGTCTGGCTTTACACTACTCAAAACTGCGTCTGCAGATGGCACTGCGTGTCCGCAAAACTCCACAGTCTAACGTCTATGCATCTTGAGTGAGCCAGGACTTGGTGTGCCTGTGTATGCATGGCAAGGTAATGAATAAGCACTAACTTCTTTGCATTCTGCAAAGCATACGCGATGTTTAGTGTGTTTTTTTTAGGCAGTTGGGCATGTCATTTTGCGTAGGGCTGATAATTTCTTGGATGCCAACCTGACGTTTACCCTTTGCCCCCACTTTCCCGTAAGGGGGCAGACTGGTCTTTGGGACCAAAAAGCGACAAAAAATTCATTTTTTTTAAATTTACATATTTGGTTTCTGCAAGTATTTTTCTATCTCTCTGCAAATTTTCACACACCAGGAAGTGGTAATTTTCTTGTAATGTCTTTCTAACTGTCCAGATTCTTGGTACTGTTAACATGCAGAACTTGCAAAAAAAAAGGGGGGGGGGAGGAAATTGACTTCAGGGCTTCTTTATAATTTGCTGGCATCTGTGTTAGAAGCTGTGCTACGAATTTACGAGCACCTTTATGAGGATAGCAAAACATGCGCACCATGATTGTTGCTTTTTGAAGAAGGTATGTGTTGTCAGTTTTTTTCATTTTTCTCAAAATAGTAAATTTACGACTGTTTAATTTTGAGGCCTCAATATCTCTGCAGCTAGAGCAGGTACAGCAACAATTTTTTTTAGCAACAGAAACCTGTATGTGTGTATAATGCAAGTATGGGAACAGAATTTAGAGCACAAGCCTTTTTAATTAACTACTCATCAAAATTGTAGTACAATTCCAACTGCTTTTGAAAACAAATAGTTCATTTTGCTGTGAAATAACCAACAAAAAACTCTTGCATACTTTCACTCTATAGTCACTAGTCTATGTTGGCGTATCTGAAATATCACTTTCAATTGAGCACTTTTTTTTCTATGGCGGCCTTAAACAATAGGAGCTGAACTTAACTTATCTCAGGAACAATATGAGTTACAGGAAAACTAATTAACTATTTGAAATCAGCAGAAAGAACTGCATAACCCTGTGTAGTTTGATCAAGATCACAGAAGAAATAAACAAAAAATATCTAAGACCAGTCTGCTCCCTTAACTGATGCTACTGGTGTTCATGGTTCCTGGTATGCACACGCTGTTCTTGGTGTGTGTCTGCTGAAATTGCAAAAACACACTGTGTTCTGCCACTGTGTCACCCCGGTGCTGTCTTCTGTGCAGTCGGCATTGCATACAACGGAGCTGAATGATGGCTATGACTGGGGCCGGGCCAACGTCACCAGCATCACAGAGCAGAATGACTTGGATGAATTTCTGGCAACTGCCGAATTGGCAGGTGTCGATTTCACGGCTGGTAAGAATAGTCTCGCATAAAGGGGCTACTCTCAACTAGTTCGTGGGCCTCTCGGCATTTTCATCTGCCCGCCTTGTTTGAAGAAAGCATTTCCTTGTATAGCATGTTACCGTGCAATGTGGATTTACTTGAATGTGCTATATTGGTGTCACATGCGCTTCTGCTGTTAGTGTCCAATGTGCTTTTGTGCATGTGACACTAACGTGGCTTCTGATTTCAGCATTATATTTACTCGCGTAATGAATCCACTTTTTTTTTTTCAAAAAAGATGACAACGATTTGGGGCAGGGGTTCATCAATTTGGGGCAGTGATGGTAGTTATAACAGCTATCATGTAAATGCAGGGCGAAAAGCGGTAGCGGTGTCAAGAGAGTAGCAGCAAAAGCTGGCCGGGTATGCGGGCAGCGTCGCAGCAGCAACCAGGCAGCTCTAGCTCGTGCCACCGTGCCGATGTGGCTGCAGTAGTGGCATTTCTCTTCACTACAAATCATCCCCTATCAAAAAAAGGAGCCATCCTGATGACTCATGGAGAAAATTGTACGAGCGGATTGTAGTGTGGTTTCAAGCGCTGTACGTGAACGGTTTTACGACCCTGAAAGCGCTGGTCTGGATGGCGTAACAGGTTCGACGATGTAGTTGACTGGTGAAGTATGTGAGGCAACGTGGCAGGGTTCCTGTTATTTCGAAACAAGCTTGGAGGAAAGGCCTGTAGGGACAGTTGGAACCCAAAGCCACACAAGGGTGTTCTGAACAAAGTTTGGGTACAAGTGGTCACGTCGAAATTTTCGTCTCCATTGGGCAATGGTTGTGAATGACTGAGCGAACTTACGGCATCCCTCGGCACAGTGGGCAGCTTCAGAGATGGGTGTAGACTCTGAGGAATCAGGTTGGGGGGGCAGAATGGTAACGAGTGTGGTAGAAGGGTCGCAACTATACAAGAGGAAAGATGGCGAAAAGCCCATAGTCGCCCGTGGAGCAGTGTTGTATGCATACATCACAAAAGGCAGAATGAAGTCCCAACCAGAGTGGTCTTAGGCAACATACTTAGATATCATGTCGACAAGCGTGCGGTTGAATCTTTCTGTCAAGCCATTCGTTTGGAGATGGTAGGCTGTGGTACTCTGGTGAATGATACGGGATTTGGCAAGGAGTGCGTTTTGCAGAGGAACACATGGCCTTTGTCCCTGAGAAGCTCACACGGTGTGCCGTGACACATAACGTTACAGAGAACGAAGTTCTGCAGGAGGAGGAATGATACGGCACGTGCTGTGGCAGCAGGCAGAGTGGTTGTTCCTGCGTATCACGTCAAGTAGTCGACAGGGATAAGAATCCAATGTCTTCCACAAGCCATGAATGAAAGAAGTCCATACAGATCAATTCCAATGCGATTAAAAGGCCTGGCTGGGCATGGGATTGGCTGGATCAGACCAGAGGTGGGCTGAGGGAGAGCTGTGTCGTTGACATTGCGGGCATTGCTTAATGTACTTGCGCACAAAGGTGTACATGCTTCGCCAATAAAAAGGGAAAAAAGCTGAGCATATGTTTTGAACACGCCCGCATGTAAGCACTAAAGGTCAGCGGGGTAAGCTAAGCATATTGCAGCACAAAGTTGGGGATGTATGACCAGTAACCACTTTCGGGCGTCAGACATGTAATTTCTGCGATAAAGCAGGCCATTGCAGATCTCAAAGTGAGCCACTTGACGATGCAGTGTTCGAGAAGATGGAGAAGTCAACGGGTCTGAAAGGAATCGCAGAAGAGTGCTGATCCAGTCATCCTTATGTTGCTTAGATACCATATGGCAGTTTGCTGGGAACGCAACCGTTTCGTCCATGGCAAATAAGTAGGCAGAGCTTTCGGGTGACACAGGTGAGCGTGATAGCGCGTCGGCATCAGTGTAATGTCGGCCAGACGTTTAGACAACACGTATGTTGAACTCCTGCGACCGCAAAGCCAAGGGAGCTAAATGGCCGGAGGGATGGTTCAACAAGGAAAATCAAATAGGGCATGGTGATCGATGATTACGTTGAAGGGGTAGCCATATAGGTACGATCTAAATTTACCTAGAGCCTGAATTATTGCCAGACACTCCTTCTCTGTCACAGAATAATTCTTCTCTGCTTTAGTGCGGGTACGGCTTGAGTAGCGACTAATCGCAATTTGCGCTGCGCGAGCACAGCTCCAAGTCCAACACCCCTGGCATCAGTGTGTGCCTCAGTCGGAGCAGTTGGGTTGAAGTGACACAGGATTGGCAGTGAGGTTAGCAGGTGGCGCAACTTTTCGAAGGAATTGTCACAGGCGGGTGACCAAGTGCAACTTTTCGAGTCATTGTGTAGTAATTCAGCCTAGGGGTGGTGAGGTGGGGGACAGCGATCATCTCAAAATTTTGAATAAAGCGGTGGAAATGCCAGCAGAGGCCGACGAAGCTGCGCAGCCCCTTGAGAGACGCAGGTTTAGGGAACTCTGCAACTGCCCAAAGCTTGGCGGTGTCGGAAAAATACTGTCTTTGGAGGCAAAATGAGATGATGGTGAGCTGGCTTGCACCGAAGCGGCATTTTTTCAAATTGAGCTGAATGCCGGCGTCAGTTAGGCACTGTAGTACTTCATCTAGCCTGGGGAGATGCGTAGGAAAATCTGGTGAAAATATAACCTCGTCATTTAAATAGCACAGGTACATTTTCCACTTCAGGCCACACAAAAGATTGTCCATCATTCTCTCGATTGTTGCGGACGCGTTGCAGAGACCAAAAGGCATGACACGGAATTTGTAAAGGCCATCAGGTGTGACAAAGGCTGTCTTAGGTTGATCTTTAGGTGCCATAGAGACTTGCCACTAGCCACTCCGTATGCCAATAGAAGAGAACTTCGCACCTTAGAGGGCATCCTCAATTCTCGATAAGGGGTGAACGCCCTTTCGAATTATTTTGTTAAGATGACGGTAGTCAACACTGAAGCGAATTGACCTGTTCATCTGCTTAACGAGAATGACTGGAGATGCCCAGGGTCTATTCGAAGGCTGGATTGCGCCACACTTGAGCATGTCAGCTACTTGGTCGTCGATAACCTAGCGCTCTGTCGTGCACATGCGATAGTTTCGACGCAGTTGCGCATTGGTACTCATGTCGATGCGGTGACACACAGCTGATGTGCGGCTGAGGGAAGTATGCTGGCAGTCAAAGGAAGAACTGAATCTGTCCAGAAGTCGTAAAAGCTGGACGTGTTGCGAAATGGTTAACGTGTCGACAATGGAGTTTTCAGTATGTCAGGCGTAGTATGCGGCCAAGAGGCTCAGGTCACTCTGGCGACTACGGGTTCGGCGGAAGCACCAGTCGACATGTTGATAATTGTAGATGGGCCGAGACTGTAAACACGTCCGACGAATTTGCCCTGAAGCAGTGTTACAGGACATGACAACAGGTTCGCGATGAGCAGTCTGCTGATGCTGTCATTAAGTTTCGAAAGGGCATAAGGTTGTGGCGAACGCTTGCAATGAACGAAAACGGCCTATGGCGTAAAAAGGGCACTCAATGTGTCGGTGTGGCTGTAGTAGTTGTTGGAAAAAGATAGACGAAGAAGACAATCTGTTCTGGCCTTCAGTTCACGCACTACAGCAGCAACACACGGAGTAGGGCAGTGGTTTATTGTAAATAAAACTTTTTTTTCTACTCAACAGGTGGTTAAATTTTCTTCAAGTGGTGCCGATACCCATCGAAACAGCGAACCACATCGATGGTACCAAGGTTCTTAAGCCTTCCCGCTTACGGACCGAGCGTACCGACTGGCAGCCAGCTGCTCAATGTGGAAACGCAGCATGGAAGCTCTCAAACTGAAGCATAAATCCGAGAGAGCTTTAATACGCGTTATAAACAAGGCAAAAGCAACGCTTACCCAAAAAAGTGTCACGGAAAAGGAGCTTTGTATGCTCAGTGAACGCCTCAACCAGGTTCGCACCAACTTGAAGGCCACCGACTCTGACATTGTCCCTCTGCCGTCAACCACGGAAGTGGAGGCAGAGTTTGATCGGTTTGTGGAATACAACGATCGAGCCACAACCAGGTCAGCGAAGCTGAAGTATAGGCTACACCAGCTTGAAGATTCCTGGAACCATGCACTATTGACAACAGCTGCTGAACCTGTGTCACGCATGCTCCAGCTCACGATCCCACTTCAGAAAATCAGCCTCATGAAGTTAGATGGCCAACCGTCATCAAAAACGCCTTTTTTTTTTAAGCAGTTTAATCAACTGATCCACAACAAAGGTGGGCTCACCGATGTAGACCGGTTCGCCTATGTACATTCGGTTCTGATCGGTGACGCGACATCGGCTATCGCTGGACTTCCTGCAACAGTAAGTGGCTATTCTGAAGCCCTGGACATTTAAAAACAGCACTTTGCCAAGAACGACGTCATCATTCAGGCTCCCATGCAGCGACTTATCGACATGCGACCTGTGCAGTCCTCCAATGATCATCGAGAACTTCGATACCTTTACGACATGGTCGAATACCAGACGCATGCCCTTAAGACTCTTGGAGTATCGGACCACGATTACTCCGCGATGTTCTATCCCATTTTGGTTAAGATGCTTCCTCACGACATCGTTCTCGACCTCAACAAGACCATCGCACGCCAACGTACAGAGCAACGAGTCCAAAATGGAAGTATAGACCAACAAGAACAGCACAGCCAGCACCAGAAGGCGAATGTCAAGTCGTTACTTTTTTTTGTTAAAACGGAAATAGAGGCTCAAGAGCAAACATCCCGGCATGCTTCTGTAAGAGTGTATGCATCGAAAAGTCGCATTAGAAATTCTTGCACTAGCGTGACATCCACTTCGCGACATTGATCAATTATGGAGTGTTTGACCTCATCTGTAAAACCAGTTCTACGAAAGAATGCCTGGTTTTTCTGTGAGTTAAACACTCATAACATGGAGCAGTGCGACTGTGCAGTGACTCTTGAGGAAAAGAAAAAGTGACTACTAAGTGTAAGTCGAAGCT